ATCTTAACCATTGTATTGCAGCCAGGAAAGTTTATGATAGAAATGTGATTGTAATCTGGAACTTCTCTAATTATCACCTCAGTGTCTTGGCCACTGGGGCTGCATCTGCACTGCAAAAATAATGTAGTCTGACTTTAACTGCTTTAACTGTTACGGCTCAATTCTATGGGATTCTGGGATTTGTAGTGTTGTGAGATATTTAGCCTTCTCTCTCAGAGAGTTTTGGTGCACAACAAACTACAAATCCCAGGAGTCCATAGGATGGAATCATGGCAGTTAAAGTGGTATCAAACTGCATTATTTCTTCACTGCAGATGCAGCTAAATCTGCAACAAGGAAATGTTACTTTTTTGGGGACTACAGATCCCAGAATTCTGGCCATGCTGGCTGAGAGATTCTGTGATTTGTAGTCTCCCCACCCCCCATAACAAAAGTAGCAGTTCCATGTTTGGGTAGCAAGATCTCTCAAAACGCATACAGTTTTACAACTACAGACTCCTTGATCCGTGGCCATGCTTTAGAATCATAGCACTGGAAGAGACCACAAGGGCCATCTAGTCTAACCCTTTGACCTGGAGGAAAACACAGTCAAACAGGGTAACCAGACATCCCCCTTTTTCAGGACAGGTCCTCCATTCCAACCTTCTGTCCAGGAGGAATTCCAAAATCCTTCATTTTGAGCAGGACTAATAAGCATGAATTTATACTTATATTAGTGTTTTTAGTTTTTAGTCCTACAATTTGTGATGCCTTGTCCTCCTTTGCAGTTATGACATCTATGCAGTTATGACACCCTGCAATCCTCTGCAATCAAAGCATTCCCAACAGATGGCCATCCAGTTTCTGTTTAAAAAGCTCCAAAGAGTGAAACTCTACCACTCTCCAAGGGAGTGTGTATCACTGTCAAACAGCTTTTACTGTCAGGAAATTTTTGCACCCATTGGTCTGTGCCCTAGGGGTTATTCAGACAGTGATAATAATTCCAAGTTGTATCTTTGTTGTTCACATGCATTTCGAATATTGTACATCCAATTAAATTTTTTTTTGGGGGGGGGGGACTGCCAAAATATCCATTTAACCCTGGATAATTTATCTTGGTTTATTCCCCTAAAAGATTAGCTTTCTTGGTTGTGTGAAAAACTGATGCAAATAGACTTAGGATAAATCAGGATTAAATTCTACATGCCTTGAACATGCTTTGAATAGATTTGAATCATTAACTCCATCTTTATTCGAGTTCTGACATGTGTGAGCAACAAAACTCACAGAAATGTGCATAGATGCAGTTCTGACTAAAAAAGAACACAAAGGGTCATTCACACCTCTTTTTTTTTAGCTTGACTTTGGGAATAATCTCACTCACACATTCTGGGTTTGTTGTTTACACTATGGAACCACATTTGTGCACATCTTTGTGCGCCCCCTTGCTCACATGTGTCAGCACTTGAATAAAGAGGTCAATAATGTATTTGAAACACATTCAAAACATGCAGAGTTTTATTCTGGTTTATTCTGGGTCTATTCACATGAGTTATTCACACATCTGAGAATGTGAATCTTGTAGGAAAACTCAGGAAAAACGCTCAAGATTGATTATCCCAGGTTAAGTTGGTCTTTTGGCAGCCCACTCTCAAATCATGATTGGATGCAGTCAAAATGCATGTGAGCAACAAAGATTCAACCCAGATTCTACCTGGATTATTTCCACCATCTGAATAATCCCATAGTGTGAACAACAAAACCAAAATCCATGAATAAGATTGTGAAGTCGAAGGCTTTTATGGCTAGCATCTATAGTTTTTGTGGTTTTTTGGACTGCGAGGCAGTGCTCTAGGAGAATTTATTCCTGATGTTTTCAACATCCTTTTTGACTTGTGGTGCCCAGATCTGGACACAGTATTCCAGGTGGGGCCTGACCAAAGCAGAATACAGTGGCACTATTACTTCTCTTGATCTAGACACTATACTTCTACTGATGCAGCCTAAAATTGCATTACCCTTTTTAGCTGCGGCGTCGCACTGTTGACTCATGTTCAACTTGTGGTCTACTAGGACTCCTAGATCCCTTTCACACATAGGGCCTTTGCAGACTGCCAGAAATAGTGCAAATTGAGCCCACTTTAAGGGTTAGGATTAGTGCTAGGGAATCATGGGAATTGTTTTTTTTCTGAGACATTGAGCCTTCTCTGTCAGAGAGCTCTGGTGCCACAATAAAATACACTTCCCATGATTCCCTAACACTAACCCTTAAAGTGGATTCAATTTGCACTATTTCTGGCAGTCTGCAAAGGCCCTTAGTCTCGTTTAGACAGGTATCCCCCATCTTATATCTATGCATTTCATTTCCCCCCCTAATTGCAGTACCTTACATTTCTCCGTGTTGAAATTCATTTTGTTAGCTTTGACCCAGCTTTCTAATCTATTAAGGTCATTTTGAATTGTCATTCTGTCCTCTGGCGTATTAGCTATTTCTCCTAATTTGGTGTCATCTGCAAATTTGAGAAGCATGTCACCTAGTCCTTCATCCAAATCATTGATAAGGATGTTGAATAGCACTGAGCCCAGGACAGAACCCTGTGGCACCCCACTGGTCACTTCTCTCCAGGATGAAGAGGAGCCATTGCTGAGCACCCTTTGGGTTCAGTCAGTCAACCAGTTACTAATCCACCTAACCGTTGTATTGTCTAGCCCACATTTTACTATCTTGTTTGCAAGGATATTGTGGGGGACCTTGTCAAAAGCCTTACTGAAATCAAGATATGCTATGTCTACCGCATTCCCTTCATCTAGCAAGCTGGTAATTTTATCAAAAAAAGAGAAAAGATTAGTCTGGCATGACTTGAGAAACCCATGTTGACTTTTAGTGATTATGACATTCCCTTCTAAATGTTTACAAACTCTCTGTTTAATAAACTGTTCTAGAATCTTTCCTGGTATTGAATCATAGAATCATAGAGTTGGAAGAGACCACAAGGGCCATCCAGTCCAACCCCCTGCCATGCAGGAACTCCCAATCAAAGCATCCCCGACTGCTTAAAGACCTCCAAGGAAGGAGACTCCACTACTCTCCGAGGGAGTGTGTTTCACTGTCAAACAGCCCTTACTGTTAGGAAGTTCCTCCTAATGTTGAGGTGGAATCTCTTTTCCTGGAGCTTGCATCCATTGTTCTGGGTCCTAGTCTCTGGAGCAGCAGAAAACAAGCTTGTTTTATTGATGTCAGACTTGTTTTATTGATGGGCGATAGTTGTTGGGATCCTCTTTTTTCCCCTTTTTGAAGATGGGGACAACGTTTGCCCTCCTCCAGTCTGCTGGGACTTCTCCTGTTCTCCAGGAGTTTTCAAAGATTATTGCCAGTGGCTCTGAGATTACATTTGCCAGTTCTTTTAATATCCTTGGATGTAGTTCATCTGGTCCTGGAGATTTAAATTCATTTAGGTTAACCAGATATTCCTGTACTTCCTCTTTACTTATTCTGTGCTGAACACCCTTTTCCTTTTGTGAGACGACTGAGGCAAAGAAGGTGTTGAGTAGTTCTGCCTTTTCTCTGTCCCCTGTTAGAATTTCTCCATCTTCTCTGCGCAGTGGCCTACCATTTCCTTCTTCTTTCTTTTGCTACAGACATACCCCAGAAAAAGCCCTTTTTAATTGTCCTTTACCCCTCTAGGAAGACTGAGCTCATTCTGTGCTTTGGCTTTCCTGACTTTACCCCTACATGTGCTAGCTATTTGTTTGACTTCCTCTTTAGTGATTTTGTCCCTTTTCCATTTCTTATACATCTCCCATTTAAAACGAAGTTCATTTGAAAGTTTTTTTGTCATCCAACCCAGTTTCTTGAGACATCTCCCATTTTTCCTTCTCATTGGAACAGTTTGAGATTGTGCCTTCAGTATCTCCCTTTTGAGAAACTCCCATCAATCCTGACCTCCCCTCTCCTTTAGTATTCCTGACCATGGGATCACTCCCAGTGTTGCCCTAAGTTTGTTGAAATCAGCTCTCCTAAAGTCTAGGATGAGTATCTGACTATGCCTAGCTTCTCCTTTCCACTGTGTAAGAAACTCCAGGAGAACATGGTCACTTCCACCTAAGGATCCCATTCTGACCTGATAGTTGTTACCATGGTCCAGAATTTCAGTATAATAGCATTTTATGCCCAAGTTGATTTATAACATGACTCAGATTATTCGTATAGTCATGCTTAAAAAAATAAGGTCTGAATAAACCCCTACTTTCTGGAATAGCAGAAAGCAAGCTTGCACTGTCCTCAATATGACATCCCTTCAAATATTTAAATAGGGCTGTCATACCATCTCTTAACCTTCTCTTCTCCCGGCTAAACAAACCCAGCTCCCTAAGCCTCTCCTCATAGGGCTTTATGGTTTCCAGACCCTTCACTGGTTTGGCCACCTTGGCTTTCTTTTTTAATAAAAGTGTCTTTAATTTGCTAGTCTCCAGTCATCCTGCCTTCACTTTCCTTGTCTCTCCTCCCCCCTCTCCAGCCCTGCCCTCCTTCTCTGGCTCCTAGTGCTTGCTTGCTTGCCTATGTGCGTCATTTGGGGACTCCCTGCGCTTGGCTGCCTTCCAGGGCGGCATGCTTTAGTAGAAGTCTTTGCAGTCCCTGTTTCTGGCTGCCAAGCTTATGCTGTGATTTTTTTTCTCCCTCCTTCTCCCAGTTTAATTTCTGTCTCTCTCTTTGAGCTAAGTGTGTTGCCTGGAGAGGGAGAAGAAGGGGTGTGTGTGTGTGTGTGTGTGTGTGTGTGTGTGTGTGTGTGTGTTTGGAGTGGGATGGGGATTCCCTGCCTAGGTTCTTAGCTGCTTAGTCTTGGAGAAAGAATTTCTTGTGGTTGCTGTCGTGTGGCTTCAAGTCATTCCAGACTTATGGTGACTCTGAGGCAAACCTATCATGGGGTTTTCTTGTCAAGATTTGTTCAGAGGAGGTTTGCTATTGCCTTTGCCAGAAGCTAAGTGAGTGTGACTTACCCAGGGTCACCCAGTGGGTTTTATGACCGAGCAAGGAATCGAACCCTAGTCTCCAGAGTCATAGTCCAACACTCAAACCACTACATCATGCTGGGTCTCTTGAATTTCTTACCAGCCCATATTTTGCAATCTCCTGGAAAAGCCCTGCTCTCTGTCCTGACACTCTCAAATGGGGACATTTGGTGGGAAAGCAGGAGAGGGCCTTCTCAGGTTACTGCCATTTGTTGTTAACTACCTTGAGTTGACCCCTGATTCATGGCCACCCTGTGAATTAGACATCTTCAAGACCCCCTAACCTCCATTGCTCTGCTTAACTCTTGCAAATTCAGGCCCATGGCCTGTCCAATTGAGTCCATTCATCTGGCATGTGGTCGTCTTCTCTTTCTGCATCCCTCCACCTTTCCCAGCATTACTATCTTATCAAATGAATCATGCCTTCTCATGATCTGGCCAGAGTGCGACAGCCTGAATTTGATAATCTTGGCTTCCAGGGAGAGTTCACGTCTAATCTATTCTAGAACCCATTTATTTATTTGTTTTGGCCATCCACAGTATCCCCAGCCCTCTTCCCAGCACCACATCTCAAATCAGTTTATTTTTTTTTAATCTGCTTTCTTCACTGTCCAGCTCTCACATGCGTACATATGATTCTAACTTCAGTGCTCAGCTGTATATCTTTAAACTTTATGATCTTGTCTAGTTCCTTCATGGCTGCCCTTCCCATTCCTAATTTTCTTATTTCTTGATTGCAGTCTTAGAGAGATCCCTTACCCACATATATTTTGGGATTTCATGGGGAAGCCCTGCACTCTGTCCTTCCACTCCCATGGGCACATTTGGTGGGAATGCAGAAGAGGGCCTTTTCAGGCTACTGTTTACTGCAGAATTAATGCAATTTGATACTGCTTTAACTGTAATGGCTCTATCCTATGGAATCCTGGGATTTGTAGTTTGTTGTGGCACCTAAGCTCTCTGGCAGAGTATGCTAAATATCTCAAACTACAGATCTCAGAATCCATAGCATGGAGCCATGGCTGTTAAAAGCAGTATCAAGCAGTATTCATTCTACAGTGTAGATGCAACCAGAGGTTGGTTCAAAGCTCTGGAACTCCCTTCCGAGAAAGGTTAGACCAGCACCCTCCCATCTTTCTGCAAACAGGTATTCCTTTTTATTTATTTAATTCCTTTGTATTCCACCAGGACTTTGATAACTGATTTTTCAGGGAAACAGGCCTGAGCTTTTATTTGTTTCAACTGGTTTGAGATTTTATGATGGTTGGGTTGCCCTGTAACTTTTGTATGCTGTTAATTTTTTACTCTGGACGCTATCACACGGGGCAAATCTGCTGGTTAATCTACACAAATCCCAAACAGAAACAGGATTTGTGCCTCGCGTTTTCACATGACGTCGCACAGAAACTGGACAGAAAGTGGACAGAAACTGGTGTTAACTGAGATCTTTTGAAATTCGGTTGTTTTGAGGAAATGCAAATGCGAAATTAAGGTAATTTCGCATTTGCCGTAATGTGAAAAGCAAATGCGCATTTGGAAGCATTTCCCCGTATTTTCCCATGGTTCCGTGGGGTTTCCCATGGGTCATCAAGGCAGCGTCTCCTTATTATGTTTACTTCCGGTTTTGTTTGGGCGACAAACCTGCCAGCCAGACATGAGCCTCTCTGCTTCGTCTTTCTAAATATATCTGTCTTTTACTAGAGATATTGGGCCATGGTTGATGTGGGGTTTGTGAAGGAACACAATTGGGGCCAAAACAGTGGCCAAAGCAATGACGAAATGGGAAAAAGGAAGTGACGAAAACAACATCCGCCAGCTGCGGCGAAGGCTTTTCTCACTTGTGTGTGAATGTTAAATGCGCTTACTGTAATTTCGCATTTAAGGTAATTACGTGTGAAAGCCATTTGCGGAATCAAGGTTTATTTTCGTTTTATTTTCGGGATTTCTCATTTCCACTTTATTATTTCTTTTTGGCCCACATGTGATAATGTCCTATGTTTGTTTTGACTCCCTTGGATCCCAAACTGGGGAAGAAGCAAGATATAAATAAATATATAATAAAAATAGCAACAAATAGCATAATACCATTTGTTTCTAAGGTTGGCAACTGTTGTTCCTAACATCTGTTTCAGAGGGTCTGCATCCTTTCAGAGGCAATTACTTGGGCTGGTTCTTCCATTAGGCAGAATGACGATTGGCAGCAACCTCAGAGAGCATATGCTTTTCTTGTCCGTTAGATCAGTGCTTCCTAACTCTCTTTCAGGGTCATGGACCCCACGGAGAATCTGCTGATTGCTGTGGATTCACTCCCCAGAAAAAATAAATACTTGTAACACAGATTTTAGCATATTTATTTATTCATAACCTGCCTGTATTCCACTATGGGACCCCAAATGGTTTACAATTTAAGTTAAAACAAAATAGCTAAAACAAGTGGTGCAAAGGTTTAAAAACTATTAAACAATGTTTTCAATTAAGACATTAATTTAAAACAATTAAAACACTTCAAGCACATATTACATATTATAAAAATAGCATACCCGTTGCACACTCATTCTGTCCCATTCAGTAATAGGAAAGAAATGGATGGGGTGGGGGATATCTTTTTGCACTTGGTGCATGACCACTCTTAAGATCTTCCATACACCCCATAGGAGTTCATGGACCACAGGTTAAAGACTCCAGCCATTTAGCTTGTTCTGCTCCCACTAATCTAACCTGCCCCCACAGTGGTGGTGGGGAACCTGTCCCCTTCCTGTTTTTTGGGGGCCAAGTTGCCCAGCCCTTCTGTATGTGCAGTGGTGGGGATGGGGAATGCATCTTCTTGGTCTGAATGCAACAGATGTGCCAATCCAGAGGTTCTGTACTCCCTTCAAATTGCAGCAATCAATGTTGCCCACCTTGTTTCCTTCTCCATTTGAAGATGGATCTGAGTTCTGGCTTGTCAGGTGGTTCATTTGGCTAGGCCAGTGTAGTGGTTTGAGCATTGGACTATGACTGTGGAGGCCAGGGGTTGAATCCCCACTGAGCCACGAAACTCACTGGAGGATCTTGTGCAAGTCATATTCTCTCAGCTGCAGAGATGGCAATGGCAAACCCCCTCTGAAGAAACATACCAAGAAAAGCCTATGATAGGGTCACCATGTTGGAAATGACTTGAAGGCACAACAACAACACCCTGAGACTTGCTGGCAGGGAGCCATAGGATTCTCACTTATTGTGGGTTATGGCACCCAAGGTGGCTCCCAAAGAGAATCAGTTAAAAAAACCTTAACAGTAAAAAAATTAAAATAATTAAAAATCACAGCATTAAACAGTATGAAAAGGAGGATGTGACATCAGTGGAATATACTTGCATCTGTGGAATGGATGAGACAAGAGACACCATTTCTGGCTTACAATGCTTGATCAGAACTCTAACATCATAAACAGAATATTGCATTCCTCTCAGAATTACTCTTATTCTCAGTTTTCTGAGATGAAAACATAAACAAAAAAATATAAAAATTAATCTGCTTCTTCCTAGCAATTGCTAGACTTGAAAGTGCAAAAAATTGCAAAGTGTCTGCTGCTGAGAGTGAACAACTCCCTGCCTCTATTGTGTTTTGTTTATTCATTTTAAACTTTTGTATATCTTTTGAGGACTTCCGGTTAGGACGGCATCGGCTTGAGTGGAGTTTCAGGACAGCTCCTGAAATCCCACTCGCAAATTGCGGCAAGGGTGCTCCCTTTCCTCAGGAAAAGGGGCACAGAAGTGTCCCCTACATATAGGGGATCCGGATGCGTTCTACTAAGGCCCGGATCCCGCCGAGGACAATAATACAGCCACCAAAAGTCGTCCGGTAAGGAGCGGAGGGGGCCGAAGAACAAGACACGGCCGCTTTTGTGCCACCATCCCAATGGTCCACAGATGCCACTAACTGATTTAAAGTGCAAGTAACTTGGGGATAATACTAAAAACCTTTACCTGAATACAGTTTAAGACTTTCAAATTTAAATTCATTTGTCATAAGTTAACAAGGGAGGATTGTGGACTGATGATTGGCTTACTGTCTACTTGCGGAACTAGGCAAGGATAAAAGGCAATAATCTGGGTTAAAAATAGCCCTGAAATATACACAGTGAGAAAGGAGGCTTGGGAAGATCGAGAGTGAAAGGAGAGTGAAAGGAGAGTGAAGGAGAAAGAAGACTGTTTTACGCTGATCTTGGGAGGCGGAGAGCAGTTGTGGAGAGGAGGAGGATTATTGCGGAGATCAAAGAACCTGATCAGAGTGTGAAAAACTTGTGGGTTCTCTCTGCTATTCTTATTTTTGCTTTTATTATTAAAAAAGACTCCAGGCTGATGAAGGTGAAAGTGATGCTGGCGGTCTGTATATAATTCAAGAAAATAGACTAAGGAAGTTCGGTGCCAAGGAGAGCAGCAGGACAGGGGACAAGATGGAGGTCTGAATGGATTGCTGGGGAAGGGAGTGAGAGAGCAGAACCGCAGGACCTGAATTGAGGCATACAGACGGATCCTTATTGGGAAAAGAGTTGAAGAAATGAAAATAGAGCGTCAGGAGGGAAGATCCACAGATTGATTGGAATATATTTTTATTTTTACTTTGTAACTTGAATGTTTCTATTTTTAGTGGGAAATTCTCCTTTTATTTTATTTTTATGAGCACTCGGGGGGCGGGTTTTTGGGGCCGGAAGAGAAGTAGACAAGAAGTTTTTTACTGTTGCTGTTTTTGGAGCTACGGTGATCATTTGGAAGAGAGAAGATTGTGGTGAACTAAAAGAGCAGGAATCCGAGAGAGGGGACCTCTGCTGGGGAAGTATTAAAGTGCAGAAACTACTGGGAAACTTTTGGATACAGTTTAAGTAACAGTGTTTAATTAAAACTAATACATTTTAAAGTGTCTCTGATAGTGAAACATATATTGCTATTTTTAAAGCAATTTATTTGTTATCCCTTTTTTTCTTTCTTAAAAGTTTATTATCTTAATAGATTTAGATAGCAGATTATATTTTATTGTGCCATAATTCAAAGTAAATTTATAAAAGTAATTTATAATAAGACATAAGATATTTGAATAAGATTTA